AGGCCCATATGAAGAGGATGAAAAAATAAGCCACAGATGAGGAAAATATCTTTTAAATTCACATATTTAACAAAAACTAGTATCTAGAATATATAAGTAACTTTCAATATTTAACACTAAAAATAAAACTGATTAGATGATGGGCAAAAGACATAAAGAGATATTTCATGGAAAAAATATGCCGATAGCAAATTAAGTACATGAAAATTGAAAATATGTTCAATAATCATTAGTTATCAGTGAAGTGCAAATTAAGACTTCAGTCAAATACCACTGCATACCTTTCAGAATGGAGAAAACAAGAAATAGTGACAACATCAAATGCTGGTGATGATGCAGATAAATTCATATATTACTGGTAGGAATATAGAATAATACAGCCACTCTAGAAAATAGTTGGGTGGTTATTAAACAATTAAACAACACATGGGCTCGTTCCCATATGCATTTGTCCTCTTAGTTATCACCATATCAAAATCTGTTTTGAGGGGTAATTGGAGTAAAAGTAAAAATAAATAAATATGCATACAGCTGCCATACAGGACAGTAATTGAACTCCTTGGTATTTATCCCAGAAAAATGAAAACTTACATTCATACCAAGCCTGTCCACAAACATACAGACAAACTCTATTTGTCACAGATGACAGCTGGAATCAACCCAAATGTTCCTCACAGGTAGATGGCTACACAAACTGTGGTATAGCCATATAATAGAGTTCTTCTCAACAATTAAAAAAAAAATTAACTCTTGATACAATGAACAACTTGGATGACTGTCCAGAGAATTCAGCTGAGTGAAACAAGCCAACAGCAAAGGTTATATGCTATATAATTTCATTTATATAACAGTAATTGCAGGAGTAGCGAAGAGATTTGCGGTTACAGGGGCAGAGAAAAGAGGCGTGGAAGGTGGGTGCACCTTTAAGAGAATAACGTGAGGCATCCCCATGGAGGTGGAGGAGATCAGTATCTGGACTGCGGTGGTGGGTACATGAACCTACACAGGGGCTAGAATTCAGTGGGACCAAATACACACACAACTGGATAGATTGGAAGAGGACAAGTGAATTGTGTCGAGGTCAATATCCGGATGCCATGTCTGACTGTTATTTTACAGACATCTTATCTCACTGGGGGAGACCGGGCATAAAATAGGAGGGACCTATCTCTGTGCCATTTCCTATCATTGTGTGTGAATCTACACTTACCTCAAATAAATGAGTAATATTACCTTTCATTTAAATAAGCACTTATTAAGTATTTGGCAATTGATTTCTGAAATATTAAATGTATTCTAGATTTTTGTTTCAATTGGATGAGAATAAATGACATCAGAATTTGATACTGATTAACTCAAAGTCTTCTGTCATGAAGAACTAAAACGTGGTTAAAACTGCCCAAAGCAGAGAGACAGACACTTGCTTCCCAAAAGTTACCAGTCTGAAGCCGTTACTTTCTAAGGGCTGAAGGAGACGGCCAGAGATCCAGCAAGGTGTCTGGGATTAAACCAACCTGCAAATGCTCAGTTTCTCTCTGTTCTTCCCCCCAACTTCTCTCTCTTTCTCCTCATGAACCCCTGGAAGCTGGAGCCCATCACCCATCAATACAGAAATGGCCCTGGACCAACCTCAGAAGGCAAATATTTGAATGTACATTTTATAGGCTACTGGCTAAAATAAATTGTCTGGACATGTATATCACTGTGATCATTCTACTTTATTAAGATTGAATATTTGAGATTAAAAGAAAAGCATATTCATTTAAAGCTAGTTACCATCAGGCATCCATCAGCAGTGAAGCCAGAAGCCATCAGCCGCCTATCTGAGGCTCCTGGACTTACCCACCCATCACGTTGTGGACACAGGGCTCCTTGCACTTACACCAGGAACACCATAGGCCAAGGGTCTGACTTCAACGCTGCGCATATGTGGCTGTTATTTAGAACTCTCCACGGTATAGATTTACATTACCATCTGCCATCTAGTTGCTGTTCACATCTGCCTTAAAAGGGAGGTTGGGCGTAATCAATTAAAGTGTGCATAGAAAGCCCTGGAAAAAACCATCCCCAACAACAGCCTGAACTTGGGAGATGCACACATGTCTATTCAAAGGGGGAGTAAGGAATTCATACTCTTCTCCCTCTGAAAACATTCCCTCTGAACTTGGGAAATTAAGTGACAAAAGAATGCTTTAAAATTTCTCACACAGTTCAGCTTCTCTGAGGAGCCTCGGAAGGAATCTCAACTTTATATCCTTTAAAATTAATTTAAGTAATAAGTGGGGTCGATAAAAATTTAAAACTCAAAATAAAAAATAAGTAAATAACCCCCCAAAAGAAAATTAAAACTTGCTCTATGAAAGACTCTTGTTAAGTTTGAAAGTACAAATGATAAACTAGAAGAAAACATTGGCAAAAATATATAACTGACAAAGGACTGGTATCTAGAATATACAAAGAATTTTCAAAAGTCAATAGTAAAACAAAAAAAGTCCACTTAGGAAATGGCTGAAAGGCATGAAGAGATAGTTCACCAAAGAAACAAGCAGATGGCAGACAAACACGTGAAAAGATGTCCAACATTGCTAGTCAGCAGAGGAAGGCAAATTAAAACCACCATGAGATGCCACAATGCACCTGTGAGAATGACTGACAAAATTGTAACAGCACAGAGTGCTGGCAAATGTGTGCAGAAACTGGATCACTCACCAAAAGCTGGTGGAAATCGGACTCATCCTGGACAAGTTTTTGGCAATTTCTTTTAAAATTCAATACACAATTGCCCTAAGGGCCAACAATGGCACTCTGGGGCAGTTATCCAGAGAAATGAATATTTATGTTTACACAAAAGCCTGTACATGAACTTTCATAAGAACTTTATTTGTAAATTGCTAAACACTAGGAATAAGCCAGGTGTCCTATAATCTGTAAATGGCTAAACTTTGGTACTTACTGTGGAATACTACTCAGCGATAAAAAGAAACAAATTGTTGGCACCTGAAAAAAATTGGATAAATCACCAGAAATAATGTGTGTGTGTGGGGGGGAGCCAAACCCAAAAGTATACATACCATATGCTTCTGTTCATAAACACTTTTGAAATGACAAAATGATGGAAATGGAAGACAGATTAGTGGCTGCTGGGGGTTCAGGAGTGGGGAGGGGCAGGAAAAGGAAGGACCAGAATGAACCAGAGGGGAGGGTAATGGCTGTGGCTATACAAGGGTGCCATGAGGAATCCTTATGGTAAGATAATGTTGTGTATCTTGACTGTATTCATATCAATATGCTGTCTGAGATACTGTGCTATAGTTTTGCAAGATGGCACCATTGGGGAAACTGCTTTAAGGGAACAGGAGAGTTCTCTGTATTTACAACCACATACAAATCTACAGTTATCTCACGAAAGGTTTAATTTAAGAAGAATGGAAGAGTTTAGGAAGAAAGTGTGATCTTCCCATGTAAGTTTGGTTATGAGGATGCTGGTAACCCACTGGCTGGCAAAGCTGTTGATAAGCAGTGAGAAGCAGGTGGTTTAGAACAGAGAGCTGATTGCAGGGGCTTCCCCTCAGAGTCCAGGGGTCTCTCCATCCAAGCCAGGAGCATTACCTTTGGGCAGCCTCCATCTCTAGTTAGGAGATTCCAGGAAGGACCCAGAAAAACTGGATCAAATGAGAAAGCCCCCTCCTATGGATTTGTTACCAGGGCCTCTGAAGAAATGGTAGCCCTGGGAGTCAGCCTCAGGATGAGTTTATTAGGGTTCCAGCCCTATTGTTTGGGATGCTGGCAAATGGAAAGGAGGCAGTGACAACTCAGTACCAGGGACCAGAGATAAATGGGTAGTTGAAGCCACAGAGGGTCCTCTCAGGCCCTGCCCTGCTTACAGCCTCAGGGAGGAAAGGAAATAATAATCACACCTGTTCTGTGAGAACCCATCTCTGGGGCATCGTTGGGGGTGGCCTCTTGTCTAAGCTCAGGTGTCTGAAGCCCTTCTATTCTGACCGCCCAGACTCACCTCCCTGTTCTTGACTCCCAGACCAGTGGCTCCAAGCTGCTACTCCTCCAATCAGCACAGGCCATTTGCTCCAGGGAGCTTACAGGGAAACACAGACCCTTCCTCTCCAGCCCCTCTCCCACCACAAGGGCAGGCCCCACCCCCACCCTCGCTTACACATCCATTGGTCCAAAACCTTTCCTGGAATGCAGGCGGATCCCTAATAGTGGGACTTTTGGTTTAATTCCTTTAAGGAAGCACATTATTCCTGGCCTCCTACTCCCACTAACCTTTATGGTGGCTGCTGCTGCCTTTGGTGTGATATTTCTCTCTGAAACGCTCTCTTTGGTGAGTAGTACTGCAAAGTGGTGAAGGGCATGGATTCTAGCACTGGATTGCCCAGGTCAGACCTTCCCATTTCCTAGTGGGGAGACCTCAGGCAGAGGATTGATCAGCTTCGTGGGGATGACAGCACCAGCTTATCTCACAGGGTGTCATAAGGATTAAATGTCAAGACTGCCTGGCAATGGGAAACTATAGAAATGTCAGCGATTGCTATCCTCCTCCTTCCGGTCTCTCAGAGGCGGCAGTGTGTGAGCGAAAGTACTTAAAATTTGAACTCAGTGGATATGAGGGTAAGACTTAGGGTACATTTTGGACAAGCCACTTAACTTCTCTGTGCCTTAATTTCCATATTTGCAAAGTGAGACCCCCAAAAAACCCTGTTGTCATGGGGATTAAAGGGTCTTGGCCACTGTGTCCCTGTTTCCCCAGCCTTGCCATGGAGGTGCTCAAAGCACATCTGTGGGTGTGGGGTCTCATAATGAGCAGTGATTGCAGTTGGGACTGGTAGCTGTGAAACCAGCCCTCTTTCCCGCTCCATCCCCCTTGCCCTGGCGCCTGAGAAGCAGAGCATCCCCATGGCAACAGCGCAGCTGGTCCCTTGATAAGAGGAGCTGGAGCTGGGCAGCAGCAGCTGCTGTAGCCAAAGAGGAGCCAGCCCAGCTTCAGGGAGGAAGCTCACCCTCCCCACCTCTGGACCTCTCACCCCAGCACCTGCTCGGACAGGTAAGTGCTTCGGATTTTTCACTCTGAGAACTTGGTGGGGAGAAAAACAAGTTTTCAATAAGTTTATGGTTGCTGAGCAAAGAAGGTTGCAGAAAGTGGCTGGGATGGGGAGAGGAGAACATGGTTTTCCGGAGCAAGGCTAAGTTGGGGCTGGGAGGGGAGCAGGAGAGGTCACCACTTCCCAGTCACTTTCCAAGGGAGGTGGAGTCCTGAGATGTGTAAGAACCGGGGTCCTTGCAAATTAAATTGGGAGTTTCAGGCAGAACACTGGTGTAGCTGCCTGTTCGCGGAGCAGTGAGAGGAGACTCAGCTGAAGGCTGGGGACAGTGTGCTTCTCAGAACACCTCTCCCTGCCCCATTCCAATGAAGAGTCAGTCACTCCTCCAGAAATACTGCACATTCAGGTCTTCTAAATGAGCAAGACTGATTTCAAAATGTGGTGCTCTTTGACCTGAATTCCATCCTCGGGTTAAGAAGAGATAGGAGAAAGGATATGAATTTTATGTAACCAGAGCGTCCTTTTACCAAGCACTACATTGGGCTGTGGACATAACCTTCTCACTTATTCTTCCACCAAGTAAATCCAGGCCTGATGGCTTTGGGGAAATTCTTTACAAGGCCGCCCGACTAAACTGAGTGTCAGCTCGCTCCTCCCTGAGAACCAGTGTTACCACGTCCCCAAGACCTTGCAGTTGGTCTGGACCTCGTATAGTTCCGACCTCAGCATTAGCTTCAGAAAAGCCAAAGACGGGAGGCAGAGAGGATTCCAGTGGTTCAGTTTGGACACAACTGGTGTAACCACGTGGGGGGACGACAGAGCCCAGAGGGCATCTCCCACTGCTTCGAGCTGGTGTGTGGCGGGGCCGGGGCTGGGAGCTCCATGCACTCTGTGCCGTTCACTCTTTCAGTGACCCTAGAAAGGGGCCAAGATCATCCCATTTTGCAGATGCGGAAACTCAGTTTCCAGGAGGACATATAACGCCCCCAAGGTCACCCAGCTAGGGAATGGCACAAGTAACCCAACATTTGTTGTTACCTCATATTGCCCCTCAACACCAAATGCTTGCAGTCAGTGAGGAATTTTCTGCCTGTGATTAAATTCCATATTCTAACATCCAGCTGAGAAATCTACTCAGTGTGATGAGAAAGGACAAAATGTCCAGACCAGCTTCGGACCTCAAATTGAACTGGGCAGTGTGTTTTTAGGGGCAGAAGTAGCACCACTGTCTTCCGGAAATAGTAACAGGCTCTGAGCCAGTGGAGGCAGGTTTCCCCAAAGGAGCTCCCAGCCTGTCCTTCTGCAACTTAGTGGGTGGGGTTCCCTCCCGGTACCCAGGGCCCTGGACCCTTCAGAACCTGATCTCAAAAGATCAAGTGACATGTGTCCTAGAACCCCTCTGCATGCCACATCACTTAATATAGCTCCTTCCTCAGTGGCATTTGCTTCACAGGTGTCTCTCTGGGCAGCGGAAGTGAGTTTTGGTTTTTTGGTGTTTTTTTTTTTGAAGTGTTAGAGTTAGCAAGAGGAAGTTAATTGTGAGAGTTTAGCATTGGGGGAAAATAACAACAAGAGGTTAGCATTGGGGTCCTGAAAACCTCCTCCAACCCCTGAAAAGATGTCGCTTGGTCTCTAGTATGTGCTACACCAGGATACCCACGTTTCTCTCAAATGGCAGCAATGGAAAAAGTAATACAGACCCAGAATGCTTTATTCTCTCATCAAGGAATCTGAAACACTCTGAAAACCAATGTTTTCTGTTGTTCTGTTCAACATAAGTGCATTTGGTAGCCAGTACGAATTTTTGCAGTCGTTAGTTATGTCCTTTGGTGCAAATATTTCCATGTGTGCTGAAGAGTAATGCACGGATTGTGGTGCTTCCAGCAGCCCCTCTGGAGTGTTCATGGTGCAGATTTCCCGATGCCCACAACATGCGGGCCCTGGCTCTGCAGGCCGATGTTGGCCATCACTGTGGCAGTCCAAGTCCTCACAGTGTGAGTGTTGACATTCAGAGACTGTGCTGAACCATTAAGTCACAAGAGAATGTAACAGGGTCACAAATCTTTGGACTAGAGAGCAGTTATGAAATACCCCCAATCCGAAGGGCCCAGGCCTTTGGTTGGAGCCTGAAGACCCAGGAGAGCAGGCACTCAGGTGCTCGGAATGTTCCCAAAGGGCAGACAGCTGCTGGGGGAGATGATGAAACCCTCTCAGGGCAGCAAGATGACAGCAGTGTCCCCTCCCTGAGGCTGGAAGTGGAGGCTGTTAAGAGAGGAGTCAGGGCAGATCAGGAGTAGGAACTAGAGACACTCCATTTCCTAAGGCAAGAATCAGAGCCGCCCTCCCCTCACAATGGCTCAGACCCACGGAGTCTGATAGACTCTAAGGGGGGAGTTGAGAGGGGGAGAGGTCATCTCAACTAACAATCTCCAGGCAGGTTAAATGACTAGTTATTTATAAGGCGATGCTGAACTCCAAGTATCTCTGCCCTCCCCTTGCTGGTTCTTTCCTTCCTGTGAAGAGTTTTTGTTTTTGTTTTTGTTTTTGTTACTGTTTTTGCCAAAATCATAATGACATCATCCATGATAAAAGTGTCTTCTAATCCCATGGGCAAAACATATCCCTGATCAGCACCGGGTATTTTTGCAATGGAAAATCCCAAATCAGGGCATCACCTCTCAGCCCCCCAGCCCTCAGAGGTGTGCCAGTTCACCACCATCGTCCTTGCAGTCACACTGATTTAAAAGAGGGTTGTCTCCCCACAGACGTCAGGTCTTACTGTGGCAGGAAGCAGGTGTCAGGTTTGGGACGAATCGCTGGACTTCTGGCACTCGTACAAGTCGTCTCCCGAGGGCAGGCTCCTCTGTCTCTCAAGCCCAGCACAGCGATAGTGGCTTCGCTCAAGTGAAGGAAGGCTGGCCGTCCCGTGGTTCGGCATCTAGATGAAAAGAGAAGATTCGATAAGTCTGTAGACATTTTCAGTCATACACCTGGTCTCCATTAACCAGCTGTTCAGTCGGGTATAGACAATGTTACTTAACAAAGGTCTCCTACAATATGCAAAGAGGGAAGCTATCCTATTTAATCTTCAGAGTAACTCTATAAGATAGGCACTGTCATCTCTATGTTACAGATTAGAGAACTGAGGGTAAGAGTGGGGTGGGGGCAGAAGAGGACATGTGTTCCTGGGTGCCAGTTGGCAGTCACAAAGGTGCCAGCCTTTGCAAATTCTACTGCAGCAGCCATAGCTTGTCAGGGGAGAGGCATGGGTCATGGCATTGCCCACGGACTCCATCCCCCTTGCTACATCGTTTCAGTTTAGCTACTTTACCAGAGTCTTGTGGCCTTTTAGTTAAAGATCTGAGGTTTAATCCAGATCTGTTTGACTTAAAAACTCAAGTTTGAATTAAATAGCCATCTACTGAGCACCTAGGAGCAGCCACGTGATCTGAGTACAAAGAACAGCTCAGCTCTGGGGGTGCAGGAGGAGAGGAGTGGTATTGTCGGACAGGACCTAGAGCAGAAGGCAGGGGTCCCGGCTTCCGGTGAGGACTCTGACTCCAAGTGCCCAACCAATGGGAGGTCGTTTGAACCCCTTTGGGCCTCCATTTCTCCTTCTGGACAATGAATCTTTTGACTGGGTTCTCTCCAAGAGGTCATTTTCAGCACAAAGTCTGAAGGGCTAATGTCATTTTGCCCAAAGAAGAGAAGGTTGTGTAAGTAGATGCCCAGGCCACATTTGAGGCTGTCACTTTCCCTCTAGGTCCCAGCACCAAGCCCACTCACCCAGAGAGGTGGCCCACAGCCCTCCTCGCCGCTCAAGCAGGTGGGGGTGGCACCCGAGTTAACAGCCTACTTCTTTATGGTCCCAGGGAGTTGGGAGTCTCTAACAAACACTAAAGGCAACGGTCTAAATTGATTTCTGCTGAGGTCACTCAGCATAATCAGTCTGCTCCAAGTGACACTAAAAGCCACTCAAGTAATCCCTGAATGGCTCCATCTGCTGTGCAATGATGTCAGCCTGCACGGCAGAGGCCCTCCAGGCCTCCCAGAGAAAATTGGCTTGTTCCTCCGAAGACAACTGAGTTGAACTAATTCTTTGAGCTCGATATGGTAACCACAGCTAGTCCCTGTGTTCGTCTGCATACCTAGGGATGTAGGAATCTCAAAAGAAGAGGACCTGAGGCCCATTTTAGTCTTACTCCTCCCCCACGTTCTCACTATGGTAGGACATGAGTAATACATTATCTGAAAGAAATTCAAGAGACAGCATCTAGGTGGACTAATGAAGGTTGCCTATACATCTCAACTAATGCGTTTCTCACTTAGACCTGACACATGTTCATTCTGGATTTCCACTTCTCCTGGGCAATATCGACAACTAATAGCTGGGGAAAGTTTGATGGATTTGTGGTCTGGGAAAGACGGGGGTAAGGAGGGGAGGGGAGCGGGCTCACTCTAATGTCAGGAATCTCTAGGGAGAAAATAATAAAAATCTATTTCAAAACTGGGGTTTTTTTCCTACCACTTCTCTACCACCATCATAGCAGGGACAGGGAGGAAGTCTCATTACTTTACACTTGAGGTTGTAAAGGTCGAAAACCAGAGCCCGGTTCAATTCGCTCAGAAAATTGGCTCTGTTTTTAAGAGACTGGAATGTCTAATGGAAATCTGCAGGAGTGGCTGTGGGTCCAAAAGTGGATATTTAATAGATATTTGATTAAACAAATTAACTAGGTGTTCTGAGCCTTAGTTTCCTCATCTGTGAAGTAGGCGTAATCTTACTTTGTAAAACTCAGCAGAGAAAATATAGGTAAAGTTTAATCAGTGTATTCTGTAACTCCCAGCTAACTCATTTCTAATTCAGACTTGATGAGAGTTCATTCTGACACTCCCACGGTGCATCCGAGAGAGGGCAAATATTGAATATTTGCTATATGACAATTACCCATAAATCTGTGTGCATGTGTCTAGGAGAGACTTACTTGTTTTGTTGATAGCTTAAATTTCACGTTAGAGCTTCTTCTAGTAGCTAAGCAGAAGGGGCAGAGGTGGAAAATGGGATTGAGTTGGGAACATAGTAAGTGCTCAATAAATACACCTGCTTAACAAGTGAATGGATGAACAGAAGCCGCACTAATGGGCTTGTATCTGACACATGCTAGTGGGCTTGTATCTGACACCTCTGTAGTGCTACGGAGGAAATACACAGAGCAGCCCTCCTTCGATGATGTCCACTGAGCAGATGCAGCCACTGGAGCTCTCAGAAGACAGACTGGACCAGCTCGACCCTCGCTGCAGCCACTTGGGTGAGTGCGGCAGCGGGAATGTCGGTGGCAGGAGTCAGAAAAGAGGGTCTCCGCCATTCAGTTTGCAGGCCAGCCAGAGGGAGGCCCCCTAAACCCCAACAGTGCGTGCCTTCTGGTGAGCGCCAAGGCCAGATGGACAAACAAATAGCCATGGGTTCGTGGGGTCTGCCACATAAATATTAGCTGAAGCATTGGGGAGACATTCATTAGAGAAGAAAGGCAGTGTTATCTTTAGGGGGGTCTGAGAGAGTTCCAGGCAGAGCATTTTTGAGGCAATAAATGGAATGTGGCAGCGAAGCGCATTTCCAGTGGTTCCCGGCACACTTACACCCTGCATGCAACGCCAATAAAATATTTCAAATATCTCTCTTTGCCTATCAAGACAGAATTTTAAATAGCCTTTTTCTGCTTTATTGCCAATCTGTTTCCTTTCCAGAACTGACTTTTTGCATAACCTTTGTAATGAAAATACCAGAAACATCTCCGCCTCTACCCATTTCTAAAAATGAGACACTCAGACTTTTGATGGATGGGCCTTTTGCATATTCATAGCCTTTGTTTATGCCTCGCCTGGTTATGCCTCCCCACCCCCCATTTGCCATCAGATATTTTATGTCAAGATTTCTCCAAAAGTGGGGAAATGTGTAATTGAAGTAAAAGTCAAAATTGAAGCAAATGCCTTGGTCTCTGTGCTGGGGACTGACTCACATCCTGGGGTGGAATGGTGACCCCTGGCTAGTCTCTATCCAGCCTGTGCCTCCAGAGACCCCACAGCTGGACAGCGCCGGCTCCAACAACATCCCTTCACACAGCAAATGCCCGTGGTGTGCGTAAAGTGGGGGAAGACCGACGGCGCTGTGTGGTGACGAATCTTGAAAACTGCATTTCAGCCAGGCATGCAGATTCTTAGTCCCAGGGGCCTGGATCTGATGCTGATGCCCTTACCCACCAGAAAGGTAACCCTCAGCCTGTCACCAGGCCTTCTGGTAAACCCAGGCATTGACGAATCAAAAAAGATGTTGGTCCATTGCACACACTAGAATCATTTGAAAGCACCTGCTACATGAATAGTGCTCAATAAAGTTCCCCTGTCATATAGTCTTGTGTCTTACACGGAGTACAATCTGGGTTAATGTCTGTTAAGTTGCAGTAACTGGAGTTGTTTTCTGGTAAAGGGAAACATCTATTACTATTAAATTGGCCGAAGAAAATGATGCTATTTGATTTCTTGGTTATGTATTGTGATCTTTTGATGATGCAGCTGTAGTGATGTAGTGGCTATTAAATATTTCTGATGGTAGGTTCTTCGTGTATATTGAGTTTTCTAAGACAAAGAATCATCGAGCTATAAAGCCCCACAGACCATAAGCAAGTTGAAATCAGGGACCATTTCTTACTTGTCATTTTAGCAGCACTACTTAGCTCAAGGCCTGGCTCAATCAACATTTGTTGAGTAAATAAATGAATAATGATACATGTCTAAATCCACAAAACTGAAGTGAAAAGGTTCGATATATTGAATCTTCAATGTGTGAAAGGAACTGACCTGAATATTTTCCAAAAATAGAAATAAAAAGAGAGAGGAAGGGAAGAAGGGAGAGACAGGGGTTGAAAAGACCCTATTAATCTGAATTTCCCTACATTCATTCCTAGTTGTAGATCTGGCCAGACTGTATCCAGGCAATGGTGAGTTTCCAGAGGAGACAAATAGGTGCATTGCCTTGTAGCTTCTTTGAATCCTAACAGAATAGGTTCTTATACATCGCATGTTTGAGGCCATTTGTTCAAGCATACATTCAACAAATATTTATTTGTTGTTGCTGAGGAGATAAAACACAAGATACCTATCATCAAAGAGGGCAAAGAAGGTGTCACATGAGCAAAGGCTGTGGGTATCCAGAAAATGAGAATGGACACCCGGGACTTGGGTCAGCGTGGAAGGACTTACGAACATCGGGAGTTTTCTCTGCACCTAGTGAAAAGTGTTAGGGGGGAGCAGTGGTCAGAGTGGACATTTTTTGAGCATCTGAAATATATCAAATGTATCAAGTGCCAAAATTGTCAACTTTAGTTCTGTCTCTCTCTCTCTCTCTCTCTCACACACACACATGCACATACCTACTGACAAAATTTTATTTATTTATTTATTTATTTATTTATTTATTTATTTATTTATTTATTTTTAGAGAGAAGGGGAGGGAGGGAGAAAGAGAGGGAGAGAAACGTCAATGTGTGGTTGCCTCTCGCATGCCCCCTACTAGAGGCCTGACCTGGCCTGCAACCCAGGCACATGCCCTGACTGGGAATCAAACCGGCGACCCTTTGGTTGGAAGGCCAGTGCTCAATCCACTGAACCACACCAACCAGGACTATTATCACCACTTAAAAGCTGAGAGAATATTAAAGTGTTTAGAAACTAAGGCCCAGTTCTCAGAACTGCCAAGTGCAGAGCAGGATTTAAACTGAGGTAGGTTCTACTCCACCTCCTTAGCATTCAACATGCATTTATTGGAAGGAGAAGTGATTAGGAATAAAATTTTTAAAAGGGTATAATCCTCAATCTCTAAGAAGACTCTTGGGCAAATAGGAGACTTGCAAAGCCAGGGCAGTGAAAAGACCAACCTGAAGCCCAAGTGCAAGTCAGCAGCGTGACCTGGCTGGCTGGAGAAGTCAAGGTGAGTAGCGTACTGAATACCCTTCTTCAAGACCCAGGAGAGCATAAGGCTCCTACTGGTCTTTGGGGGTCTCCAAAGAAAGCAAGGATTGAGGAAATGAAATCAAGAAGGAGCATTTAGCCCAGAGAACGTGTTCTCCCAAAGTTTCTCTTTGCCTTGATTATCAATCCCATTTCAGTCCATTCATTTGGGGTTTCATGGAATTCTACTGTTCCATTTCATTATATACATTCGTGCAAGGCCACTGAAGTGCTCTGTAGTATAGGCCACAGTAAAGAAATACTTCTTTTTTCAGACCAGTGGCTTCTGTTCCTTCCATCAGGTGGAACTGGAAACCAACCAGCTTTGACCAGGCCCTGATATATGTCGTGTTCATTTTCTCTTTGCCTCCTGTCAAAATCAGATGACCTCTCTGAGCAGTTCATTAAGGACTGTGAGCTCAAAAAGATGCCAAGAAATGGAAAAAATGTACAGGTCACTGTGAACATTGAGTCAGACCAAAAAAAGCCACGGAGGAAAGACACGCCGGCCCTGCACATCCCGCCTTTCATTCCAGGTGAGGACCAGGAGGTTGGTTTGCACGCCTGTGAAGGGGACCTGTTTGCTGCTACCTCAGTCTCCCATTTCTTCCTCAACCATGTGGGTGTTTCTTAATCATTGGTACCGTGTCCCCACCTGTCTTGGTTGTAACTAAGTAACACAGCCAGCTGCTCTAACAGATACATTCCGAAATATGAGTGCATGACGTGATGCAAGTTTATTTCTCACTCACCAACAGTGGAAGTTGGGAGTTGGGGGCAACTTCTGCTCCAACAGTCACTCAGGGACTCGGGCTGTTGGAGGTTGAGGCATCATCAGTGCATGTTCCAAAGTCACGGTGCACATCAGACACGGGGGGACAGAGTGGAACACGGACGGGCCTGCGGGGAGTCACATCGCTTCCTCTGTCACCGGCCTCACCTGACTACAAGGGAGGCTGGGAAATATAACCCAGCTATGTGTCCCAGAGCAAAGCAAAATGGTTTGGTGAGCAGCTATCATGTCCCAATAACAACCTTGCGCGTGACACGTGACATGCTGTTCCCCAATATTTTGTTTTATTTTCCTTTCTCCCTCACTCCAGTCTACTTATTTAAGGTCCTCTCTATTCACAACCCATTTGAAGGGATACAAAGCAAAAGAACATTTTGCTGAACACTCCCAGAGTGTTCTGGGAAGGACCAATGCTACCCCAATAAATTCAATTTTAACAGGCAAACGACAAAGGCACTGACATAGCGGCAATGAGCAGTAAGAAGTAGCGTCATACTGGACGTCCTTAGTTAAGGGCCTGGGAGCTCAGTCTGGGCGGTGGATTGTGGAAGGGTCATAGAGGAGGCTGTTTTCAGAGTGTTTATACCTGATGGAGGAAAACTGCCCGTAGAGAAGAAGAGGTGAGAAGGCAGGTTGGGGAGGCACAGAACTAATGAAGTCACTGAAGAGCTGAGCACGTGGCCTGCACAGCAGCAAACAACTGTCTCTCTGACGAGGAGGCAGCCGAGCGCGGGCTCGTTCCTGGCCTGGCACCTGCGAGCCGCATTCCTGGGGCACGTTCCCGTGCTTCACTCTCTTTCCACGTGTGATGGTGGGAATAATGTTACATGCACATCAGGCACGTACAGCCCTTCACATAGATATTTTCTAGTGTAGCCTCAATGCATACTAGTTCTTAGGAAGAAAACGCTGTTATTGGGATGAATGTGAGCAGAGACAGTGGCAGCCGTCACCAGGTGTAAGTGCAAGATGGGCGTGCAGACCGCAGCTGTGAGGAGGAATGTATTCAACCCTGTTTCTCCCTCCATTCCCCCAACTACACAGGTGTGCTTTCCGAGCATTTAATTCAAGGATACGAGGTCCAAGAGAGACATCCAAAGGGCAACGTGAGTCCAGCCCTTCACAACACTGACCTGGAACAGAAAAAGCCAAGGAGAAAAGACACACCTGCCCTGAACCCGGCCCCCTGGGCAGCAGGTAAAAAGTGCTGGTGCAGGCCATTTGCAGCGGGTGTGGGAACAGGTCAAGAGCCTTACCATCTGGAGGTGGCACGGCCACGGCCTTTGTCCTGCCCCGCAATCTGTATTGCTCAGAAGTGCTCCAGGGAGGGTCCTCATTTGTGGCCGCCTTTCGAGTTCCCCCTCCCTGGCAGCTCCCCTGGGGCTGACGTGGAGATGAGGGCAGGGTGGGAGTGTTGCTCATACTTCAGCAGAACTGGCTAAATTCACTGATCCAAGCAAACAGAAATGTCCGCGGGTCCTCGAGAAGAGTTAAAATGCCCCACCCCCCATCTTTTGTGGATCAAGCGTTCGATAGCCGAGGGCTGATTCTCCCAAGACACTTGGACACATTGACCAAATCCTCAAAATAGGAGGAAGAGAGAGGGAGAGGAAGAGAAAGACAGATGCAGAAGTAATAATAGCTATCTTTATATGTGTCAAATCAAGCCAAGAAATTGTGCTGAACGTTGTTCAAAACCCCAGGCTGGAGGGCAGCCAGTGTGTAAGCTACAGTCTTGTCCCTGACAGTTTTATGTGCGAATTGGGGGATAAGCCATGTGTACGCGTGGTTAGAGCATGACGGTGTGTATGTGTGTGTGTGTTCTATGTAAATAGTGGGGGCAGGGTAGTAGAGGATGCAGTTTTTTAATCAACTGAATAACACAATAAAGTAGCTATTATCTCCCTTTACAGATGAAGAAACTGGTAGATTATTTAAGTAACTTAGCCACTTCGAAGTCTTCTGTGGTTGAAGTTTTGGGAGGAATGGCTGATTTAATGATTGGGTTGATAACAGGATGATTAGATGATAGATGAAGGGATGAAATTATGCTCAGAAACCACACATGGAGGTCCTGACCCAGGGCCCTCCCACCGCGGGCAGGTTCTCAGTGCACCATGTTACTGAAGGCGTCTGAGCGAGCTCTGCTTTACACATGTGCGTGCAAAGATGAGACTGTAGCAGCACAGCAATCCACAGGGGCCACTTGGGGGAGGCAATGAGCTCCAGCTGTTACTGTAAAACCATGTTGCCCCATTATTTCACTTGACAAGGAAAATAAAGAAATATGGACAACACAGGAGAGGACACCATGGAAAGGCTGTCAGGAGCACACGCAAGGTCACTGGCTTCTGAGGAGCAGACCAGGCCAGGAGGCATGGGGCACGAGAGGCTCAGCTCCAGAGAAACGGACCAAGGACCAATGGGGAGGGTCCGAACCTGCCTTGGTTGTTCTCGTCATCAGCTACATGCATTCCTCCCTGCACTGACGTGTGCTCCTCCCTACACGGAGCCTCCAACCCCTCACATGTTGCCCCCTGAGCTCTGCCTCCATCCAGCTTCTAGTCCCCTTTCAAGTCTCAGCCAATGCAAAGTCTCTGCTAACAGACCCATCCAAGTCCACAATGACCCTTTCCTACTCTGCACTAGCTCTGAATCAGACGTAGGCAGGCAGACACCATGACTTTGTCATCTCTTTATTCTTATTGTTCTTGTGGCTATTATTTCAATTGACTTATATCAATGACTTGTGTAATGGGTTCATGAGAACTGGCTATGATTGCCCTTGGCTGCTGGCCTTGACCTGGGTGCCTGGTTCAGTCCCTTCTGCATAGCAATGCTCAATAAGTATTTGGGTTTTTAAAATATATTATCTTTGGAGGTCACAATTTTGCAGTTCCAGGTTCTCCATTAGGAGAATGATTATTTTCTACCCATTCTTGTATTTATGGTGATTGAAGCTCTTCTCGAGACACTAAGTGCAGGGCCCAGGCTTTGTAGTCGGGAAGGTCTCAGTTTGACCTCTGGTTCTGCTCCGTCCTAGCTTCGTGACCCTGGGCAACCGTCACAAACTCTAAGAGCCTCCTTTGCTTCGCCCACCTCAGGAAGGAGGGCCATTAAAACCTGTCTCCTTGGAGTGTTCACACAATTAAAGGAAGCAGAGAGAGCACTTAGCACAGCTCCTGGCTTAGCTGAAAGACCTCAGTAAATGCTAGCTTCCCTGCATTCTCTGCTTAACCTTATTTTCTTTGAGATAAGTCAGGCCATTTCCCAAAGTGAGAATTTTCTTAGCCACCAGGTTTCACCTCTCTGTATAAGTGTGTCATTCGAGGAACTTCCTAAAATGTTGAGCTCTGTTTATCTGGCGATGGAAGCAGCCTGCCTCCTAATAGCTGTATCATAAGACAGCAGCTTCTGATTAAATAAAAAATGTTTCTCAAACAGCGCAAAGTACACCAGGCTGGAGAGGGGGGTTGTATATCCAGGGACTCTGGACACATTAGGAAATTCCCTGACTCAGCAAATCTCTGTGTTGTATTTGCAATTATATATAGTGGTCTGTAATTCTAGCTTTTATTAGCGTATTTGCTGAAGCACTTTATTTTTGAAGAGGCTTTTAGTATCTAAAGATTTGGCAGTAATCGAAATGCTAGTTAAGCTGATAAGGATAGAGCCTTCAGCAGATGTTCAGAGAGACTCACACGGGTTCTGATAGTGTGGAGAGGAGCGAGCAGACAAGTGCACTCCTGAGACGTCTCCTCTCATTAGCCCTTGGCAAGTGAGGACTGGACAAGGGTTTGCTCTGTTCTAAATCTCCAGCTAACTACCTTCCTTCCCCTGGATAATGAGCTTATTTGATGGTTTCCAATTGCCAGACGAGTCCTCAGTGAGAAGTCATCTCGGGCTTCAGCACCAGCCTGAGGTTTTGCTCCCAGCTTGGCCCCTGGCCGCCAGGGTCTCCCCTCTTGCTGACTGTGTCAGGGGCGCCCCTCTGGCTGTGTGGCAGGGGGTATTGGGTTGTGGTTGGTGGAATCAAAGTAGCTGAGGTCTACTTAAGGAAAACTAAGTCTTTCATTCCAATCTCTGGCAAAAGAAACCCAGGAAAGTCAAGAATAATGGGTCCAGAGTCATTGAAAAAAAGCCTCCTGGAAAATTGGATCATGAGCTATGAGCCTTTGGAGATCGAAGCTCAATGCTGCACTTGTAGAAAGAAGACTGGCACACCCTTTGAAAGTGACACCTCTTCTGTCTTGCTGGGAACAGCCTTCTCTCCGGTGTGGCTTACCAGGGGAGGCAGTGTCTGGCCCTGGCTCCCATGAATCAGAGGCACACGTCTGGAACACAGGTGGCCAGCTCTAGAGGGGGCTCTGGGTGGGCTCATGGCCTAAGACAGCTTGCTGTAAGGCTAAGCAACCCTTAGAGACCTTGGACCGGTGGCTTTGGCCTTAAAAACACAGCCAGCTCTAACAAGCATCCAAGTCTCCTAAGCTTTCTAGCACGGAGACCAGAAGGGAGGGAAGTGACATTTTCTAAGTCCTTGCTATATGCCAAGTCCTGTGCTGGCTGCTGAAATACCTTGTGAGGACCTCCCCATCCAGTGGGGGAGGGGGACGTATTGTCCAGTGATTCCTCTGATGTTAAAAGTGCTGTAACAGAGCATCAGGTGAGGTATGGCTGATGCCTAAATCTGTCTGGCTGGTGGCAATACCCCCCACCCCCACTGTGTGAAATACAAACTCTTTCATGGCCAGTTTTACAGACGAAAAAGGCTCAGATCGGTTAAGTGACCTACTCAAAGTTGAATGACCACCGAAGGCAAAGCTTTCTGGCTGTAGGAAATTCCGTCAGTGACATACGTCTGCTTCCCACAGGACAGCACGAGGACTAGGCCTGGGTTAAGCCAGAAAGACAACAGTTGGCAAACCTTGTTCATTTTCAACTGACCAAAACCAACAACAGTAAGCATCGAGAATAAGAACGCAGTGCTTCCCTGCGTATGCTACTGACGGGAAAGCCTCTTTCTAAGCCATGATATTCATAAAAAATCAAGATTCTTATGAACTACCATGCATTTCCCACGATAAGATTAACGCTCAGCTCTACAAACACAAAAGCTAGTTCACTTTTCACTGCGGTTATCTCCCATGTCCCTGTGGAAGGCCTAGCTCACTCTGGCAAGGGCTGACTTTGATGGCTGACCTTGACTTAAACAGGGAGGAGCCTTCCTTGGAATCCAGAGAGGTTCATATGACCAGGAGTCAAAGATACTCAAAATGATCAGCAAGTTGACTGGGACCTGGGGATTTTAAGGCTCTTGACTTTTTTGAGTTAATTCCAGTTTTGACTCCATGTGAAGCGACATGAAGGAAGGTGAGACGGAAAGTTTGCGGGCTCCGCCCAGCCAATTCCGCACGCTCCTAGCAAGACAGCCTTCGTTCCAAATAAAAACCCGAACCTCTACACAGCTGGTGCAAGAGAAAAAGAGCTCCCACTGTGTTTCATAAGTGATTTACGCCAAAGACTTAGTTTCAGCTAGACTCTTGAAATTGTTTTCTTCTCCAATAAATATCAGCTAATTGGTAAAGAACCCACATGAACACACTCGGAACTGAATCAAATGAGAAGTCATTAAGATCAGCACATAGTTTTCATTAATTTGCTGCTGTTGAATGACTTCCAGGGCTTGTGGAAAGGCCTCTTGTGGTGCACCACTCTCCTCCCCGAAGGGTAGCTCTTTATGAAGCTCTTCACGAACAGGAAGGCCTCTAATTATGGGGGGTGGGGGCAATGCAGTGGTGGGCAAAGATGGGAAGTGGAACCGGCTGGCTGGGGACACGGCAGAGTTGGGGAGGGCCAGCCTTGAATCATGGCATCCTTTGTCTTTGTGTTAAAACGACCCCACTTCACAACTCACAGGACGGGCACAACCACCCAGACGTCCTCGGATGGTCTTTTCTGGGCTGATCGGTCCAAATGATTTTTTTCAGGTTTCAGAATTTCACAGATCAGTAAAATTTTCAAACAAAGAAGAAATCCCCCAAAGAAGAAAAAGAGTTAGCTTGAAATAAAGAGTAGCTTTTTTTTTTAACTTTATTTTTTTATTTTTAGAGGGGAAGGGAAGAAGAGAGGGAGAGAAACAATGTATGGTTGTCTTTTGTGTGTCCCCTACTGGGAACTGGCCTGCAGGGAACCGGCCTGCAACCCAGGCATGTGCCCTGACTGGGAATCGAACTGCGATCCTCTGGTTCACAGGTCCACGCTCAATCCACTGAGCTACACTAGCCAGGGCAAGAGTAGCTTTTTTATATACCACAGCCACAGAGCTGTGTGAAAACTCACTATCTGTTCCTTACTTTCTTATTTCACTCTGAACTCTCTAAACTTATTGACTAGCACCGGCATTTCGAAACGGCATGTTCAGACCCCAAACTCAGGATTTTACCCTGGTGTTAGTCAAATGTGTTCAAGTTTGACTCCATGAGGCTCACCGCCTCTTTACAAGAGGAAAATAAACTGGTCAACTGTGAAAGCAGAGGAAAAGCTGACTTGATGTTTAGTTGCTCCTGGGTGTGGCTCTGGGCTGAGCATTGTTACATACTTCTTAGTTAATTGTCACAAGGACCCTTTATAGAAGTGTCCCTGTCCTCATTCTCCACAACAGAAAGTCCAGACGTGAAGGCGTTAGCTGGCCCAACGCCAACCAAGTGGCAGAATGAGAATCCAAATCACCTGGACTCCCACATCCATGTGCTTCCCACCCCACGGTGCCACAAACAAAAACACAGAAGGTAGAGAAGAGGGGGAAGTGACCTCTGACCCCCAGGTCGAGCGTCCCCTCCTAACCAGACTGGTGTCCTCACTGAGCCACAGGTCCCCGGGGAGGCCAAATAAGGCCACCCAGCTCCCCCTCGCTCTCTGCTGCCACCCTTCATTGTGGGGACACAGGAAGCTTTTGGGGTTGCCGTGCTCCTCTGTGCTGTGTCTGTGCTGAATGGCCGTCTAGGGTTTTAATTAGAGGCACCTAATTGCAGATCTGTGCTTGTTTTGCAGGTGCGACTCTGCTCAGAGAGGAGGGACCCAAAGTGATCACGGAAGATGACGAAAAGGATGGTGACAAGCTAGCTATCTAAAGACACCTCCCCTGAGACCACTCGTAAATAGGTTAGATTGGCCCCCTAGGGTGACCTAGAAAAAAATAGACCTGTTTCTGCCCTCGATTTGTCAGTCTGCATTGAAGATCCAGTCGCCTTTCCCCAGGAGACACACCCTGTCAGATTGCCGGTCATCTCTTTGCCTCTCTCTCCTTTCCTGAGTCTGGTTTCTGTTCCCACCCCTTGAATGTTCACTTTCAAGTGCAGCGGAGAGGAAGCAGGTCCTCATCCTAAGTTACGAGATGACAGGGAAAGCTCTAGTGTTTAGCGCCTGCATCCTCCGGATCGAGTCCTGGCAAGAGCATAGAGAACATGGGCATCCTTGGTCTCCCAGCTCTGGCTGCTGGGTGGGACTTGACTGAGTGTCATCCAAAACCAGTTCAAGGAGGGGCTCCCTCCTGGTTGCCAGTTAGGGAGGTGAGAAGGTATGGCTTCTAACTCTCTGTGTGCTTTGGAAAACATGGTCTTTTATCTCTTTCATCCTTCCTCAAGAGTCCAAGTGTCTCTGGTGACATTCTTAAGATCCTTGAGACGGATACCCAAAGGTGACTTGGTGAGCGGGTTTGTCCACCCAGCCAACCCAAGCTTGTCCAAAATAACCGAAGAGAGAGAGTGGTGTCTGGGGAGCTTAGCAATACATCCCCTTCGTCTTTATTTTTAAAACCACCTCTTAACCGCGTCGTTCTGGAATCTGGGAGATGCGTCACAATGAACCGTTTACTAACGATAAGCGAAACTCCAATGCTTGTGATGCATTGCCTTTGAAAACACTAATTAAGTTCAGTGGGAGGCCACTCATATATTTTTAGAATTCTCACTTGTTTAGACCCCAGTGTGCTCTCTGGGACGGGAGGGGAAGGCCAGGTATTTGCTGTGTGGCCCCTGCCTTGACCTGCAGTGTGTGGGTGCCATGGGCAGCTTTGTGCAAGGGCCTCGCCCCCCCCCCCAGGGGAAGGACAGGGGAAAGGCCAAGTCTGTTCAAAGACAGAAAGGTGGGTATTTGGACAGATTCTGCTCAAGAGTGATCATTTGGAATCTGTATACACCCTGGCTCCATCGGTGTAGTAATCCCTTCTGTGTTTCTCACCATTGTGGAGAAGACGTGAGACCCTACTGGTAATAAAGATGCTTCTCCCCCATCTCCACGTTCTGGTACATTTCTGCTAAAAACATTCTACGCCCTTACAATTATAAAGAGAAGAGGTTGCAAAAGAGATTTGCAGAATTATTTTGTTTGTTTTTGACCCACAGAGGTTTAAACGTGTTTGAATAAGCCTTTAACATTTAACAACCTAATAAGGAGAATTTACATAAAATGCCAGATTTTCAGATTCTCCTGAAAAAACATCTCAAGCTCCGGCAACTTGGGGCCTGATGAGTGGGGCATGGCAGCCGTCAGCTGACCCGAGTGCTCTTTGGGAGGAACGGAGTTCTCCGACTCACCGTCTGCCCCACCTGGCACTCTCACCCATGACATCACCCTCCACCCTCATGCTGGAGCCTGGAGCCCTGGGGCAGACTCACCCACACTTTGTGTCCCCAGGGGCCCCTCACCAACCCGACCCCAGGGCTCCACTTCTCTGCGGGTGGCCCGAGTCACAGCTTTGGGAGGAAGGGAATAAGGCTGTGGCCAGGTTGAGGTGTAAGTGGTGAAACAAGCCACCATGACGTCTCTGAGAAGCTGAAAGCGATCACAGGCATGTGGACAATAGGGTTTGATCACCACCAGCAGCAGTTTTTACCCAGGGGCTTTCACTGAGAAAACAGACACCCCCCCCCCCCGGTCCTGGCAGGCTTGCTGGACAAGCACAGGGCACTCTGGCAGCACCCACCCCATTTCTCACTCCGTTGGGTGGGGTGGGAAGTAGACTGGCTGTGGCCAAGACGAAGGCCTTGGGTTCCAGCCCCACCTGTGCCACACTGAGCAAGTCCCTGGGACTCTCCGAGCCTGTCTGTCTGCATTGAAAATGAGGCTACCAATCCCTGCCTGGTCTTCTTCCTGGTTTGAGAATGAAGTGAGACAACATATGGCAAAGAGCTTTGTAAGCTGGGAAGCCTTGTCTATAACGTAGAACAATTTTAAGACACCTTCAGAGGTTGGACGGTACCTTTTCTAATGCCAGGGCCCCATTGCCTGCGTATTAAATGGGTAGATACCATGGGGACTTGAACAACAGCATCTGAGGAAGTAGTTCAGGTGAGGACATCCCACCCTGAAAGACCAGCCCTCCTCTTTCTGGGAAGATGGTCTCGTGTCAGTCCCAGCCTTGGAGGGTCGCTCACGGAGTGGCGAGGAACCCGGCCAGCCGGAACCTCTCCCTAACCCCAGACAACACCGGGGTTACTCAGGTGGCAGCCAGGTCGCCCTCGCTTCCCTTGACCCATGTGGCCCTGTTCCGGGCTGGTAAAGCAGAGGTTCCATCATGAGGATTACACTTAGACAAAAATAGGGCTCAATTCACTGTGAAGGACTTTTCTCCAGCCATATAATAGTCATATTAACAAAGCGAAAGTGCCCCGTGGTAGCCAATTCAGAAAGAAGACACGAATTCAAGGCGCTCCAACGGAACTAGCCAACCAGTAGGCCGTTTGTTCATCTGAAGCGTCTACCCCACCCCAGACCCCCTGAGACGAGCAGACAGTGGACGCTTCCGAAAGCCCCGCGCCGCACAGGATTGGTGCTTCCACTGCCGTCCAGACCCCGCCCCCCTGCCCTTAAAAGCCACTGCCCGAGGTCACGCCGCCGACTGCTGAGGTTGTTATGTCCGGGGGAAGCGGAGGCCGGTGCTGAGGGATCAGAGGAGGCCCTGAAGGACTCGAGCTGTGTTTCCCTTCAGATTCCGTTGAGTGGATTCTTCCCACCACCCGCCCGTGTTGTCCAGGCTGTTTTCTCAGAACACAGACTGAGATAGTGCACAGTTATGAAAATAAATTAGCCCAGTAATTATCTTGCCTAGCTGAGGATACGAGGCTAGTTACATGACGGATGGTGCAGAGTCTCCGTTGTCTGGAGGAAACCAGGCTCCCTTGGCACTTGTAATCTGCAAGTGTGGAGGTGTCACTCACAAACCCCACCTGAGGCAGTGTGCAAATGTACCCAGTGGCTGCACTGAGGACACCTGGTCCAGCTCCTGAACACAGACTGCCTTTGAACTGCTGGAAAACATCACCTGTACAGAGCTTTATGGACTGACTGTAATCTATGGCCACCAACATTAGGGCAAGAAACTCTGCACAGGTAAGTGCATGTAGCAGGGAAACAATATACTATTTGAACCGAGGTCTGCCCTGGAAAATGCAAGCTGTCAGCTGACCTTCCCCCAAGGAAAAGGATAGGTATTTCCTCCCCTTTAGCAGTGGGGCCTTCCTGCAAGGCGAGACTCCTCAAGTTTCAGGGACTTGCTGAGAAGGAGAAATGGAACGTGGAAAACAACCGTGACCATCCTGACCAATGTCATTGAATGGAAACCCGAGGCCAGATGCGAACTTTGAGGGTGAGTGGCAGCAGTAACCTGCAAGCCCTTGCGTTCTTACAGCCCAGCGTTGGAACCCCAGAGAAATAATACACACCTTACTATTTGCCCATTAGGCCACATACAAACTACATGTCACACTGACAACTTAATCATGATTTAAACAGCGCCCTTCCTGAAATACACAGGGTGCTCCGAGGCCTGGCGTTTGTTCGGTCTTTTCCTCCATCATCTCATTCAACCCTCAAGAGCAACTGTAAGGAGGCTGGAGAGCTGGGGAAACCGACTTGGAGAAGCCAAGACAGAAATTGTGTCCCTGGTTCCTAGCCCAGTGCTGTTTCTGTAGCGTGGGACTGTTCGGGAATGGGGGGCGGGGGCGGGGGGGGGCGGGGCGGGAGGGGGCGGGGCGGGAATCCCGTTTAAAGCAGGGTCCAGGGAGAGAGAAGGTTAACAAAGGAGATTGCTCCATGATCCAGAGAGGAGTGAATCCTGTAAGCAGTTCCTTTTAGGTATGGTCTTTGCTCTCTCGGTGGAAATTAACTTTCCAATAAGGATGGAGAAGTGTTCCCCGTCCCCGTGCCTGGAATTTGGTCATTGGCAGCCGACCCTGTGCTCCAGGAAGGCGTTAGGGTGGGCTCTGTGCTCCCGCCCCGCTCCATGCTGTCCCTGCTCAGCAGCTTCGCTGGCCTTTTTCAAGGCACAACTCTGACCATGTCGAACCGTTTCTTGATGTCTGTCTCCCCTGTGCTCCGCCGAGTTCCAGGACGCTGGCCTCCTGACAGTCCCCAGGGTGTGCAGTGTGCCCTCCCACCGCAGCTCCTCTCTCGTCCGCTCCATCTCGCCCCTGCTGGTGACACCAGCCCGTCCTGCTCACGCTGGGGCTCCGCAAAACGCCACCTCCTCCGGGGGCGCTCACCTCTCTGACCAGGCGGACCTTTCTGTTACTTGCACATTCTCTAACCACCAGGTTCTTTCATTTTTAGTTTAATCTCTTGTATTTTTCCCATCCCTCCACCCCCTCACCTCCCCCAACCCCCCGCTGTCATCCCAGGTTCTTTTCTCCACCGTCCTCATGTCTTTTCATGTCGCCCATTTGTGACACCGACTCACACCTGTCTCCTTGCTGTTGTGTGAGGCCCACAGACGCAGGGCTTGTGCCTGGTTTTGAACCCCACATGCCCTGTACCTGGCATAGAGTTTAGCATGATGTAAACGCTCAAGAAATACCAGTGAGGGAGGCAGGGAGGGCGCCCGGGCCCGAGTTGAGTGCGATGATCGTCTGCGATGATCGTCTGCATCGTGAGGGTGATGTATGGGTTTTAATATGCACGTGTGCGATCTCTGTCTCTCACACGCCCCGCGCGTTTCTGAACAGGAGCAGCGTCTCTGGTGATTCCCAGTCTGAGAAGCAGCCAAATCTGCAGTCACCCTCCTAGAGAGCAAAGCAAAAGCCGGCAATACAAAAACGCAATAGCAAGTCGACAGGGTGCAGTTCTTGAGCAAAGGCACATTCACAACATGTAACTGTGTGGTTATAAATCC